ATCCTTTACCTGATCAATAACACACAAAAAAAGACTATTTGCTAGAGCCAAAGCAGGAGCTGTAATTGCCTTTTGTTTATCAATGCTAGATACAATTAACAAAGAGATACAACCTAAAATGGAGGGGCTACCTGCTGCTGGAAGTTAGTTCCAGACTTTCCTCAGTTTTTCTGTCAGCTGCTCCAGCCATCTCCAGAAGACAATAAATGGAAGGTCCAGCTCTTAAAATTAGAGGTCAATTAGATACTTAACGATGAAGCATATCTTCAAATATATATCTATTATTATCATGCTAGCAAAAAATTAATTAACCAGGTCAAGCAGGTCACGAAGGCTAATGTACAAAGTAATTATTTCTGATCTTCAGACAACTATTTCACATAAAAAGGTAGTCCTTTATTCTGCTCAGCAGATACCTGAAATGCCTGTAGTTAATCATATTGAAGGAAACAAAAGGCAAGGTTTATCTCTTTAAAAGATGAGAGTACATCTCAAATTATTCTGTTTAATTGTTTAAGGACAATCACTTTTTTGCTTATAATATTAGCATCTCTCTGGTCACCACTCAGGAAGAAAAGAGAACACACACCCTTAATGGTGCTCTACCATGTGACGCACAGACACACAAAATATACCAATATCACACAGGAATATATTATAATCAAAATAGAAAATACTATATATGAAAAATACTTAGATACTCAAGAACAGAATAAAGCATGAGTAAAGTGAAAAATACTTGGTTTGAGGAAAAGTAAATGAGCAGCATGTATTATAGCAATTAAAAGAAACAGTTTTCAGATAAGGCAAAGAGTATATGCAAAGAAGCAGCAATGGCATTTAGTTCAGGCCTTCAATAGATTAAGTCTGCCACCAAATGCATATAATAAATGATGAGGGGAAAACAATTAATATTGTATACTCATTATATACAAAACAAAGAGCTAACAATTTCAAGTCTCACAATTATACCCAAAAAGATGTATTTGTATGAATTGACTAAATCATTGGCCCTGGCCCAGAAAGCCAAATGCCCAAATAAAATCCCAACCAGCTAGTCCGTTCTTCAGAGACTGCTATTGTTCAGCCAGTGATGTGAGGGGAGGACACTGCCTGTATAGCATACAATACGAGCCACTCGAATAATCTAAAATTTGGTTTTGAAGAGACATAAACAATTGGATAATATCATTCATCCCCAGAAAGTAAGTTTCTCACGAAGATATTTTAATGAGCTGAATTCTCTTGCAAAGCCTAAGTTCTAGCTGCAAAAGCCATCATTAAATGTGTTTCTATTGACATGCTATACAAACCAAAGAATGTAGTATGATATTGTGTCCATGAATATCTTCTCTAGATTCAAAACCATGACATGGTCAAATGAGGTTAGATGAATAAATATAGAGATGAAATCAGGAAAAATATATAAAAAGATACAAAAATATATAAAAATCAGGAAAATAAATAGAAAGAAATCAGGATTTATACAATATTTTGTTTTGCTTAGAATAGTCATATTTAATAGTTAATAAAAATACTATAAATATGACAACCTGTACAATGTATTAAAAGTGGATTTTGTTTACCAGTTAACATAATAAATAAAATGCTTCAAAGTATTGGCTAAGATACTACAGTGCAATGAGTGGGAAAGGGAGGATGAAATTACTAAAGCAGTTATCTATCCTTTGGAATTACAGTGTAAGAATCAACATTCTCAACTCCAAGGATCCATATTCCATGACCTATTAGTTTCGCTTTTTATAGACTTGAAAAAAACTATGCTACTTCTGTCCAGGAAATATAAAAAATGTCTAATTTTTTCTGTGTTCCATATCAGGAAAATTACTTAAAATGTAACCAATGAGAGGAATCACCATTTTACAAAGCACAGAAGAATTTGAATTCACTAAGCAAATAGCCTCCTAAAAGATTTACTAATATTAAAGTATTTTAGGGGCTGGCCAGTTAGCTCAGTTGGTTTGAGTGCAGCTTCATAACACTAAGGTCATTGGTTCAGATATCCACACTGGCCACCTGCCAATAAAATAAAAAAATTAAAAAGGGGGGAGACTATTTTAAAAATAAATAAATAAATAAAAGTATTTAAATTATCATTTAAAATTATTTCTAATTTTTTAAACTGTAAAAATTGACTTGTCAAAAACATAAAAACAAAAAGTTTACAAAATCATTATCACACTATTTCAATACAGCTTCCATGGTCTTAGAAGTATCTCTTTACAAGTTTAGTTAGGATTTACCAAGGCAAAATTATGTTAAAAATTATAATCAAGGAAGAAAAAATATAAATGAAATTATTTTCACCTGCACATACAAGTTTTTTTTTTTTTTTTTTTTTTTTTTTTTTTCCGTGTCCGGCAACGGATCGCAACCCTCAGTGTTGCCCACGGGACTCAAAAAGAATATTAAAATTAACCTAACAATAATTACTCTCCTAGGTTTGATCATGTCTATGACTTGTCAAAAACGATATTTGAAAATATATTTGACCCATTCTCCTTCCAAAAAAATAACTAAAACTCTGAATATCACATATCTGCTTTGTGTCAAAGATGAATAAGTTTTGTGTAAGGAGTGTTTTTCAGCATTTGAAAAATTCTTTGAATGGTCTCATACTGATAAGATTAAAACTGGCAAGATATGCCATGAAGCTGTAGCTCAGGACAGAATGAACTATAAATACAGGTCTTATTGCTTCCTCTTATTTTTTAAAATATGAATTCTTGTTACAAAGAGTCTTATATTTCTTAAATGAATGTAACCCTGACATTGAATATCTCTTTCATTTTGTAATCTATACTGCTGAGTTCAAGAATGATTAACTTAAATTTTTAAACATTTAAACAATAAAATATATCTGCAAACTTTTCAGGTAATTAAACATCTATTAGAAAACTTGAAAAAAAGTATTCCTATCTCTTCAAATTGAACATTCCAAAGAGTATTTTAAGATCATATTCTATTGTTTCCTGAAAAAAAGACATCTTTTTCATGTAGTCAAGTTATAACTATAAAATCATTAATCAGTAAATAGTAATCAATAAACCTAATGGTATTTCATAAAAATACTCTGAACTGATTTGGTTGCTATTTATCTGAGGTCCTTAGTACCACAGAAAAGCATCAGTTAAGACAGCCAGTCAACAACAAACATATATTAGAAATAAAGAAAGAAGTAATAAGGAGGTAGTAAAAACACTAATAATCATTAATGGATATAGAAACATCTCACAGAACTTCTTCCTTTCCTGCCTTACAAATAGGCGAAACAGAAGAAACTAAATAATCATGTTATTTAACACCTACTGAGTTCTTACAGAGGCATCTAGAGAAAAATGTAGGAAGCCACAAGCTAAAAATCTTGACCTTAGCAGTAGGTGATACACTGAAAATTCTAATAAGGTCAGAACAAGGGAACTGAAACAGAAGAAACTAAATAATCATGTTATTTAACACCTACTGAGTTCTTACAGAGGCATCTATAGAAAAATGTAGGAAGCCACAAGCTATAAATCTTGACCTTAGCAGTAGGTGATACACTGAAAATTCTAATAAGGTCAGAACAAGGGAACACCTGGATGGTTATTTGATTAAGAATCTCAGCATGAGTCATAAAAGAGATATCAGGATGAAAAATTATTCCAAGATTTAATTGTAAAGACTTTCAAAAATGCCAGAGACATTCCATCTCATCTATATTTGGACTCTATTTTGAAACATATACACTGGAGTATGGAATAAAGAAGAGCAAAAACAAAAACAAAAAATTGACTAAAAGCTCCTTGTGAAGATAGCTGGACAAAATGCAAATTAGGTAAAGGTACTTCTTCAGACACAAAATCACTATTTTAAATGCAGTAACTACCATCTGTAATACTTAGTATGATTAACAAAATGAAGCAAGGATATGAGTTAAAATCACTGGTATCCGTCAATGAGGTAGAATATTAGAGTAAGCTACGACTTTATGCCACTGATTAAAAATAACAACAACAAAAAAAAAACATGAGGGCATGGTATTGACCTCAAGAAAAGTAATAATATAATTTAGAATATGCTGGCCCAACTAGGTCGAAGCACAGATCCCAGCTGTTAGAAAATATCTACAGCAATCAAGAGAAACAACAGTCTGTGCAGAATAAGGATAACTCTGGCATGAGTATTCCTGAGGATTAATCACCAGACAACCAGTTTCTTATTTTAGGGCTTTCTACAAGTCACACACCTCAGTTCCTATTTGTAAATGGAGACTACTTCCCTTAGCTATCTCAAATAGCTATTAATTGAATTAACCATCAAGTGTCTAAAGAAATGACAGATATCAGACCATCACACTCCCCCCAGACCATTGTAATAAAGATATCTATATTTTTACACTGCTACAAGAAAAAGGGATTTTCTAAATTGTGTCATAATTATTCATGAACAAGTTTTCCTTTCTTTCTAAACTGTAAGCTCCTCGAAGACAGACTATGATTCATTAATCTTTACATTCCCCTTAGCATCTAGAAGGAAGGCAGTTAATATTTGATAAGAAGCAAATTAATTATTAACAGACTTTACCCAGAGTTATCTCATAATTGGCCCAAACAGTCCTAACAAGTAAATAAAAGTAAGCTTCTCTTCATGGTACTATTAAATGGTAAAATACAAAGCAGAAAGTGGTTTGTGGCAATAAAAATAGCATCTCTATGCTACTTTGGAAATTTTTAGGTTTTCCACTAGGTTGTGTTAGGCAAATGGCAGGAGCCAAAAAAAGTTTATTCTGCTTACACACCACATCAGAGAAGAATGCTTAGACCACCATCTAGTCCATATTTCTTACATCCATTTATACAATGGTGTACAACATCCTTGAATAACAGCTCTATTGGTGCTGTTTATAAGACAGGGGTGCATTTGCAGCATTTTGAATTCCATTTTCAAGGAGGAAAGTATCTAAGTATAATCAGATGAGAGTAATAAAATACACTGACCTGGATCTGTTGCTGCAGGAGATTAATTTTGTGCTGCTGTTGCAGAAGTTGCTGCTGTTGTCTTGCAATCTATCAGAAATAAAGTTTCATTAAGTTAAAATGAAATGCTTACACCTTTGCTATTACCTTAGGTATCTCTCCTGGTATTACAAGAATGCTTTATTGCATCTCTGTGTGAAAGAGTTCCTATAAAATGAGAAAGGCAGAATCAGAAAGTTGGGGAGAAGAAAAAAATTTTGAACAGGTGCCATCTCTCTGCTTTGTCTGTAGGTGAAAACTACCCCTTCTATTACATTTGTGAGCAATTCACCTATATCTTCACTGCTCAGCTGGAAATAATGGGAATTTGGAAATCTACTTCTTATAGAATAAAGACAGAAAAATTCTAACTACATTTTTCTGAAAAGCTTAATTTAGATATACAGAACCAAGGCTGCCAGGTGTGGGACAAGGGAAGAGGGAATGGGGAAAAGGAGGAATTGGTAAAGGACCATGAAAATCAATTACATAGTATAATGATAAATATACTAATTATCCTGATTTGAACATCAAAAAATAAATAAATAAATATTAAAAAGTAAAATATGTAAGCAAAGGCAAGAAAAAGTTTTCTATTACTGTATAATATGGTCTACTTTGGTGAAACCTTTTCTGATGCAAAGATTTTCAGAACTGATATTAGTATTGTCAAAGGAGTGCCAAAAAACACAGGAAAAGTTAAAAATCTTTAGATTTTTTCATCAACATTGTGTGATGTACATAGCATTTTTAAAAACAAACTAAGCTGTAATTTAACATTTATGCTTTTGAAGGTAATGTGTTTATTTTATAGTACAGGGTCCACATACAAATGTTATATTCCCTTACTTCATCCAAAAGTTAAATTCCACATCGTAACATGTTATCTGGTCTATAAAAAGAAATATTAACCATTTAACACAAGCCCTATTGAGGAATGAATCTGCCCCTCAGGAGGGCAAACAACTTCCTTAGGATAATGGTGTTTACTATGAAGCATGAGCCAGCATCAGGCTGCTTATTGCCTCAAAAGCCAAGCTGCTACAGTTTGAAGTCCAAGAAGATGCTTCTTATTGAAAACACACTCACTGCCAAACTAGGAAGCCAGAGAGAAAATTGGCCAGAGAGCACTTAGAAGGACCTGGTTTAGTGGTGCCTTATAGGCAAGAGTTACAGTCTTTTCTTCCTATTTCTTCCTATTTCCAAAAGCCAGTATTCTACAATGGGCTATGTTGGAAGTAAAAGGACGTGGTTCAGTCCCCAGCTATATACTTCCTGAGCCTTTTTGATGCCCTAGCCTAGTGCAGGGGGAAATGCCAAAATCACATTTCATTCAGTATAAGATACAACGTAGCAGTCTGCTCCCTAATGCTGCTTTATGATTTCTGGTGATAACTGGCTCATACTGGAAAGCATGATAAAGCTTCCTCTAAGAGAGACTACAGTTTGAGAAATGAGACTACTCCTTCCCATAGCTTTATAGACAAAATGGAAACGGTATTTAATCAGGTTGGAATGGCCCACTCTACTTGTCTCCATTCAAATCAGAAATGGGCAACTCACACTGCAGCTCTAGGTATAGATGCTGGATCCTCTGAATATTTATTTCCTCTCAGCAAACCAGTGAAACACCACTAGGCATCTAATATTTATGGTCCCTCCTAAGTGATAAAGTGCTGCATAGAAATGCATCCAAAACACCACAGTGCAATTACTATCATCCACTCTAGACGTATGGGTTTGACATAGTGAAGTATGGTACATAAGCACCATGTGGCTCAAATTCTGAATTTTATTTGCCAATCGGTTGAGCTACATGCTCGCTTCATTGAGCATGACAACCTAGTTTTAAGTGTCATTTAATTTTCATTTTGAAATATAATTACAAAGTGTTCACTGTAAGATATCACTCGTCTGCAAATGTGTCAAGATTAATTTGTGCTAGCTTATTCACAAGTGTCAATAGTTAATTACTGTGTCATCTCTGGATGGCTAAATGACATTCTAACTTCTGATTTTTTACAGTGTTCCTTTATGTTATTTTCCATTAGGGGCTGAGTCCATATTCCTACATGTGGGCAAATATTCAAGCATATAAAATACCAGACGTCACAACTCATTAAAATCAACAGAGCATATATTGCTCTATATACCCCTATAAAATACATTTAACTGAAAAGATAATTCCAGTAATAATGTCAGATTCCTAAAAATTGCACATTAATTTGGGTATGTCTGATCTAAAGCATCAGGGACTACTTTCTAGGATCATTGCTGTTAGATTAATGTACTCTTAAGAGACAAAAAAAAAATGGGGGAAAGTGATTAATTTTTAAAAACATTTAAACTTTGCTATTTTTTATATCGTTCTCACTTCTAAGTCAATCAAGCCAAATTCTTTTAGGAACTATGATCTAATTTTTCAGTGATTTACCTATGCTGTATATAATGACTGTATCATTCAAATCAAGATAACTTTTAGGAGTGGAAAGGGGTGAGGTATTAATAATTACCCTGGAAAACAGGCATAATCCAGGGCTATTTGGGGAAAACCGAGATGTATGGTTACCCTTGCTTTAAAGCCAGACAAAATAACTGGACCAGTGAACTGAAAGATTCCTGAAGTTTTTGTTTTTCTAGAACAGAATCTCCTTTTTCTGCATGAGGAACATAAGGCCCAGAGAGAAGCCACTTACTCATAATTTAACCCAAACTGGGACTGCGTGTGATGTCTACGTGACTAAATATCCCTCAGTAATTAATCAAATCCAAGCCTTCTGAAACAATGTATCATTTCAATTATGCCCAGTTGCTATGATGCCTTTCTTTGTCCTCCATATATCCCCTCAGCATTCTCGAAGGCTCTGGATTTCCGGAAGGTTTCTTTCTTTCCTTTTCCTTCTTCTTTTGTATGTTATTATTATTACTTTTTTTTTAGCAAAGCTTACAACAAATAAGCCAATCAATGTGATTACTGGTGGAGCTTGGAACTTTCCCCATCTTCAGTTCGCCAGCTTCTTCTGCAGGGCTCACCTGTTCTTGCTGTTGGCGAGCAAGGTCCATTTGCTGCCGTTGTTTCTCAATTTGTGAGGCTGCCAGTTTTTTCTGTTCATCATGCGCTGCCAGAAGCTGCTCCCGTAAACTGATCAACTGGGTTATCATGGTGGAGAGCTGCCGTTCTTTTTCTGCCAGGCTCTCGGGTGTACCTAAAATGGAAGCAAGAAGAGATTTCTCAAGCTTGAGGAATGTCTGAATGAATCAGGAAAAGGGGGGTAGAATTTAGAGAGGGACCACTCTAAGAGACAAAGATCTGCGATAATGACTGGGAACCATTGTGAGTGAAGGAACACCACAGAGAGGTTACAGCAGAGGGATGAACGCTAGGGTTCATTGCTGTCCCTGCCAAGAAAAAGTATTGTCGCCAATAAAATTCTCACTCTATCACCCTAAAAAATAAATAAGGCAGAACTATCTACCCCATTCTCTCCTTTTCACTGCACTCTGCCTTCACCTCCAAAGTTTATCTGATCAAGTGAGGAAACCTCCTGTTTTATTTAATACTAAAGATCAGAAACTATGGATTATAAATATTCTGTAACCACCTCTATCCTCAGTGACTAACACAGTATCTAAGACATATTAGGTGCTTAATAAATGTTATTTAAGGAATTTTCTGATCATTTCCCTTGCAAAATTTTTCTGTTGTGCAAAGGTCTGTCTCGGAACTTTAGAAGTCAAGGGTTAATCACTTGGCCATGGAATGAATTCCACAAGTAGAATAAAGACTGCTTCAGGTAAGAAAGAATCGAATATGATTTTTTTTTTCCCTATGAATGGATCAAGTTAAAGTTCCCAAGTTCATCCTTAAAGCCAGCAATATTGCTTGTGGGGCTCCCTCAGCCCTTTGCCATTTGTCATTCTTCAAAGAAAGAAAAAAACACATTTAAGGTTGAAATGGATATGCATAAGGATATGCTGTTTAATGAATATGATGTCGCTGAACACTTATGGTATGCACTAATGGAGCTCAACAGTCTTTTTATGGGCAAATTGCACAGCTCTCCTAAGTAAAAGGTACAGAATCCTTTTGTGAATCTAAATTAGAGCATTTTACCACAACATAAGAATTTTGACCTGCTGCATTTGAACCACATAGGTTTCATTATGAAGAAATGATATATGATTTGAAACCTTTTCAGAAAGATGCCACCAGCTGTCAAAGGGTACAAAAATTGCCAATTTTTGTGTGTGTGGAAGGGGAGACTTCCAACTTTCTTATGAAATCCCTCTCATTCATGCTAAGAAAGCACCAGAACGATATGAGAAACTAAAAAATTATGAGTGGCCCCAAGGAGAAAGGGAACCTTCAGAGGATGCTGGCTAGCACTTGCTGGTAGCATATGATTCCCACAAAGTAAGACTGATGTCAGCCGAGAAGCTACTACATTAAGGACTACGTTGGGATTGTTAATATCAACCCAGGTCCTTAAAAAAAAAAGATCTGTCAGTATCCCTTAAAGATTCACTGAGCCGAAAGATTGTCTAAAATCAAAATTAAAAGCAAAAGACAGATGTTAGAAAATGTATTCCACTGATAAAGAAACAAATACTGTATTAAGGCTAGTGACCATCTATTCATTCTAACTCCTGGAATTTATAAAAATAAAATAGGCTTTTATTTCAGCAACAGGAATTTCAGCTTGGTAAAAAGGAAGAACTTCTTGATCCACAAATATTAAAATACAACAGCAGGCTCCCAAAGGGGATTGTAACATCTCTTCAAAAGCACAAAAACTCAACGAATGTATATGTTGATATATACAGGAATGAGAACATACGAAACCAGAAAAATATGATATTTACTTATTTCATTCATTTTTATTTCAATAAATATGTCCTGAATGACAACTATGTGTCATATGAAAAACCAAGGATACTGTAGCAAGTAAAAGCAGACATAGTCTCTATTCTCAGACAGTTTATAGTCCAAAGTTGGAGGAAAAACTTTATTTAAGTAATCACACATATCAATGCATAATCACATATGTAAACTAAATAAGAATTACAAACAAGATAAATATTTGGTGGGAGGTTTAAACAACTTTAGGGGCCCAAGTTCAGGGAAGGTAGCCTGAAAAACTAACAAATTAACAGGAGGAGGGGAATAGGAGTTAACTAGGCAAAGACTTAGTGGGTGGTTTGATCAAGGAGCTTTCCAGAAAGCATTAAACTTTGCCATTGCCAAAGAGCTATAAGCTAAAAAGAAAAGGTTTTTTTGGTGGTCAAGGAGCTTTCCAAGAGAAAATAATATAGGCAAAATCCCCATGTGTGTTTGGGGGAGCGAGGTTATTGTGTTCCAGAAGTTCAAATTAGGTCATAGAACTTGAGCAAGGAAAATAAAGGGAAGTAGAGTCCCAAATGAGGCTAGAGAGGTAGGAAAATGTCACACAATTTAGCCTCTTATACACCATGTTTGATGACCTTCATGTTTATCCTTAGAATACTTCAAAATCACAAAAGTATTTTAAGCAAGGGGTGATGTCATTCTGGTTGCAGTGTGGAGAATTGGAAAGTTATGAGATAAATGGGATACGTGCACATTTTATTACGTGTATTGTGTGCAATATTCTAATCTACACGTAATTTTCTTGCTATACTTATCTATGTGAGATGAGTTAAGAGAATGCTTATTGGATACTGCAATAGTTACTGTACTATAATTCTCTGTTAATAAAGAAGAGCTTTCACAGGAAATTTTGGGCAAGGACCAATACAAGAGTTGGATCTGGCATTTAGATTCCCCAGTAAAGACTAGAAAATTTTATTTTCTATCATGTTAAAGTCTTTTCAACAATCTTCAATTTTATTTCCCTTTCTCCATTGCATAGGAGACAGAAAGGCTGAGGATAACATACAAATGACTTCTTAGGCTCTTCTGTTCAGGATGAAGCCTACAGATCTATAAACACATTGGTGCTTCCAATGCTTATAGATATGTATAGGTGAATTTACAGAATAATACCATTTAACTGAGTCTTTTTACAAATCATCATAACATTCAAACTGTTTAATTATAAACATTCACTTACATCTCAAATAAGTTTTCCATTGGACTTAGATACATGTTTAATGAAAAAAGCAAGGCAGAAAATATTTTTAAAATTGAGGATTCAGGTACTTATATTCGTATAAGGCTATCACTATCTTTTCCTTTCACTTGAGGAGTACGTATATATTTTGAATAAATATGAGTAGCATAACAAATGGGGTTGGAGTGAAATATAATAGTGTAACAAATCTAATCTATATTATACACACATTATAGATAGACATATATATGTACAATGTATATGTGTGTGAGAGTGTGTGCACATGTGTATGTACATATATATATAGCCATGTGTGTATATATATATATTTTTTTAAATATATATATTTATTTATTTTTATTTATATATATATATTTTTATATATATATTGCCATGTAGCTTTAGGGCTCAAAATAAGGAGAAATCAATTTATACCACATAACAGCTTACACTCTCTAAATGTGTATGCTAATGTGTGTATGTATGTCTCTGTGTGTGTGTGTGTGTGTAATCATTTTTCTGTTCTGTAACCATTGTATTTGTTTAGATACAATGGTTTAAAGCCAGGCATTTAAAACCTGTGGTGCTGGATTTTTGTTTTAATTAGCAGCAAACGTTTATGCTGCTGTCATTAAAATAACATCAAGTCTAAATCACACGGACCAAGCAACCTGTGAATAAAAGTTATTTCATCTCAAAAAATCCTATTTTAATAAAAATATGAAACTTTGCCATGGCAAAGGAACTACAACTACCAGAGTTGCTGAAATAATAGACAATCTGTGGGACACAATGGGGCAACCTAAATATAGTCAGGTTATGTTAAGGAAGGCAAAAGACCATAGAATGCTCTTATGACTTAACTCTATGTCAAAAATCCTATCCTAAATCATGTTTTGAGGTTTGCTAAAATTCAACTTGGTAAAAAGTAAGATCAGATTCTGAGGATCTGCCCAGTCCAGCAGAAGTCATCAGTAGCTGCCTAACATCATCTGTTTCACATTCTTCAGGCTATCTTAAAACGATTCTCTGAAAAGCATTGCTGTAATATAACCTCTTCTTCCTCCACAAAAACAGAGGTAGTTTCATAAATGGCAAAAAGGAAACCAGCAAAAAAGCTTCTGTACACAGCTTCTCTACAAGTCTTCATGCCTGCTTTTATCCAATATCACACACAGTGTGCGCTTAACACTCTCTACTGTAAACTGTATCTAGTCTCCAACTCCAAAGACAGTGCAGCAAGGGTTTTTTTCCCTTTTTTTTTTTCCTTTTCTTTTTCTTTTTCTTTTTTTTTTTGTTCCATGGGTCGTCTTTATCCCCAAACCACATCTGTCTTGAGTTTCTCTCAGATTAGTCAGGTGGATCAGTGCTCCCCAGGGCCTGCTCCAGCTGAAGTATTTTAATTTGACTAAACACCTGATTTATTTTATCTCTCCGATGAGAAAGGCAGTTTGTCTTAATAGAGCCTGTCAGCCCACAGCCCCATTCACAGCAATTTACAGGCAGCCAGGGACTCTGGAAGAGAAGAGTGCCGTGATTCTGTATTTTATCCTCCTCCAGAAAGCACCTAAAAGCAGCTATTCACTGCTACTGCATGTGGCATTTTAGAACTGAATTAGCTTTTTATTCAAGTAACTACACTTGTTGTGAATAGCTTATCTGTAAAATTGCTACATTCACTACTGATTTTATTAACCTTTGGCTCTATCACAAAATGGTCTTCAGTTAGGAAAGACCTTTAAAATTGACACATTTTTTTTCTTAGGGGCCTTTATTCCAGTGACTTCAGATTTACTGAATTTGATCCATTGAATTCTTTACCAGTTGTACTTAAAATTTTGAGGCTCAATAGGAAGTCAATAGTGCGTAAATAAGGAAACACTTTTCAAAGTGTAAATATGATGGCAATTTGCCTCATCAAAAGTTTTCAAATACCATCTTTCATTATAACAGTTTCAAAATCAGCCCTCTAGATGTTTTTGGTTGTAATCTGAAGAACTTGAAAAAAATTAACTAAAATAGACTATTTTTTTAACTTTATAAACTATAACTACCTATCCCCAGGTCCAAAGACACAGAGAAAATTCAAAATAGATGAGAATTTAGGTAAAATAAAA